TATATATATATATATATATATATATATATATATATATATATATATATATATATATATATATATATATACACACAATGTCAAAGTCGACGTACTAACATAAACCATGAGAACATTCAGATGTTGTATATTTAAATGTTTGAGTCAGCTGTCTAACCTTGTATTTATTTTTGTTGTTTTTGTTTTTAAACCTCTTCAGACATTATTGTAGAAATCCTCTGTGTTCGCAAGAGCTTCTTCTTTTTGTTTTTTAAAGTTCTCACATGGATTTTAAACAAATTGTGTTTCTCTTTTTAAACCTACTGCAATGCAGATGAGTCGCAGAAGAAAGCGAGGGATCAAAACATGCAGGTTCTTGTCGGTGCGCAGGTTTGGCATGTGAAAAATGAGATCATGATGAATCACTTTACAGGTCCTTCCTGGATGTGATGTTTTTATGTGGTGCGATAAAACTGAAAACGTCACCGCTTTGAAATAAAGTGCAAGCTACAGCGTTTGATTAAAAGCCTGAATTTGGAAAGCATCGTTTAAAGTTGAAACTGGATATTTAAACATAATAAAATGACACACTTTATTTTCTTACTTTCTGAAATTAATTCTTGTTTCATGTTAAAATTAGCAAAATTATTTCAGTTTAGTAAATTCCATAAAACATAGCAAGATTTTTTTTTTCTTTTAGAGATTTTTTTTTTGCAACTTAACCCAGACAGATGTATGAGACGGAGACATTTTAAAACATAAAATTTTGCTTCACTTCAGCTTACTTTGTCTCTGCTGTAGAATATAGAATACCATCACAAGCTATTATTAATAACTGTAATAAATTACATCAGAGAGTGGCGAATTGAAATGGTTTTCATATTGATTTCATCTTCAAAGTGTGGAGCTGGAAAACTGAAAATACTGTAGAAGTGCATGAACTTTTCTGCGAGAAAAGTGGGCGAACTGAAAAACAAACCAGACATTTTGTTAATCTAACCTTAGAAACTAGGTTAAAAAGCATTAAAGGAATCTTGTTGTTTAAAGGTAGCAGTCAGCAGAAGGATACAAGAGCTTGCAGTGTACCATTTGTATACCATGGTGACTAAAGTGGGTGGAGGAGGATCACTGAGAGGCCAAAAGTACTAACAGCTTGTGTTCTCCATGCTCTAAGAATGTATTATTGGTGAATCGGTTTGAAGTGTCAGTTATGTTTGACCAAAAACCTTCACTTAATCAAGTAAACATTTTTTTTCACTTCCATCTCACCAAATCATTGCTTTTGAATCGATACATTAAAGATGAGGGGAATAAAGTTGTAAGAATGCATCTAGGTCTCATCATTTTATATCACATAAACCTAACAGGCACACAGCAGAGGAGTTGCATTTTGACGGCAGACAAAGTGAGGCACATGTAGTGCTGCAACGTAGCACAAGTGAGATTCTTCTAGAAAATGTCACCGTTTAGCTTAGATTTCTCCTTGTGATCAAACTCAACGCCTCCATCTTTTTATTTTTGTCTTTAATTCTTTACGCTCTGTGTTGGTGTTTGTGTTCAGGCTGAATGGATTTTTCACTGATGCTTAATAAACAGGCTCAGGTGTGAAAAGTGTAGCAGTCCTGTCACGTAGGGGCCAAGAACGGCTTCTCACTGTCCACTGGTTCAGCTCATTTCTATTACTACTGAATAAAAAGCTACG